GGGGGTCGTTTTATAAAATAGTTTATTGGTTAGGACCGAAAAGTTCACGGTGTACTATAAACTTAAGTGACATTGGTATCAATTAGAGATGGGAACCATGCGCATGATGCTCATGCCTGCGCATGGTGTGTGCCAAGCATGTTAAATTCGGAGTTTTGTTAGCTTTAAAAATAAGTAAAATCAATTATAATGCTTTAAATTTTATTGTAATCGATGGGTACCTATAAGTTTTTAATACATGTAGGGATATATAATAAAAAAAGAGACTATTAACTAATTAAAAGGATAAACAATTAATGGTGCATAAAATAAAGTTTCTAATGTCTATCAAATAAAACTTTTAACTTTAAGCTTACGCAAAATATAAGCAAATAATGAGTTAATAAATGAGTTAAATAAAAATAAGTTTTTAATACATGTAGGGATATAATAAAAAAAAAGACCATTAACTAATTAAAAGGATAAAAATTAATGACGCATAAAATAAAGTTTCTAAAGTCTATCAAATAAAACTTTTACCTTTTAAACTTCGCAAAATATATAAGTAAATAATGAGTTAATAAATGGGTTAAATAAGTATACATTATTGGGCAAAAATTGCCGTTGTTCAACAATTTGCCCAATAATGGTGTTATCCGGCAATTTATGATCATGGCCCGATTCACCCCGATTTACAAATATTTAGATCTAAAAAAAAAGATGGTAGATCAGTATATAAATTACATCTCTTTTCTTTTAAAAGCGAAAAAAATTTTTTTTCTCCTCTTATTAAAAGTGAAAAAAAAAATTTTTTAAAAGCCTTTTATGACTTTATAATAGTGAAAGCCCCATACTATAAGCTTGAAACCATCATTAGTGAAACATGTAGTTGCCATTACAAAGTTCTTGGTTGCTGGTTGCCAAAATTTGAGTTACCGGTTACGTTACTGTGCCAATTACTGGAAGATCCAAGGCTGTAATTTCTTCCTGAACACACTTGAACCTACAAAGCAAGCAAAAAAAAAAAAACTTTTTAAAACAAAAAAAAAAAAAACTTTTATTGTAAGGTTTCTTCATAATGCCAAAAAAAAAAATCACCGCCACCAACAATATCTAATAATGCTAAATGGGCTAACTATGCTGAACCATATGTTGATGAATTAAAAGTACTTTGTGAAAATTCAAAAGTCAAGGCCACCTATAAAGCAACGGATCAGTGGAACAAGGCGTTGGAGGAGTTTCGCTCTGATGTCGGGTATGAAGGTAAAATTGAACAAGTGGATTCAAAAATGGTCTTGGAAGACCAATTATCAAAGTTCGTTTGTGCAATGAAACGTTGAAATGGTCAAAAGTATCACGCAACTTCAATAAGGTGCTGTTTGGCCACTACTTGGTGACACCTTAACCAGCATTACATTATGGAAAAGCCTGTTGATATATTAAACCCCAAGGTGTATTTTAATCTAAATTAAGTTATTAATAGAAAGTTAAAGAACCTTTCAGCAAAAGGCTTGGATGAACGCATCAGGGTGGATAGTTTGATGTTGGATGAAGTGGATTATATTCTTAATCACCTGACAATGCAGTATAATAATCTAGAAGGGTTGTTATGATAGATTTTTTTTTATAATTCAATCTTATTAACATTGCGAGAAGGCGAGCATCATGGCCTTCAAATTAATAGTTTTATTAAGTGGTTTGATGGAGGGATTGATGTTAAGTTATACTGATCAAAGACTAACCAGAGAGGGCTTGAGGATCATGATGTACAAGTGGAGGTAATTAGCTTGCCTAATATCATGAGCATTATTAACAATTACGAATTCTATTTTAAAAAGTGCCAATAACGACCATAACAAGTTTTATTTGAAACCTTTTTCTTTAACTTTAGGTAAATATTTTTTTTAATTTACTATTTTTTTTGATTTATTAGTTAAATAACTACCTTTTTATTTTATAAGCTGAGTTTAGTGAGTAATGGTTTTCTAAACATGCAGTTGGTAAACAAACTATGAGAAAATACTTTCGGGTTATATGTGAAACTACTGGCATTAAAATCAGAACCCGAAATATATTGAATCATTCTGGATGAAAGACAGCAGTACAATTAATGAAAGGGCGTAGATATTCAGACATGGTGGTTATGTCTATCACAAGGCACAATTCACAAAAGGGCTTGGCCACATATAAAAGACTAAAATCCGTAATGCAGCAAGAAGGCCTAAATAGCTTTATTAGTGTGTTGAAAAAAATTTCTGGTGATATATCAAAAGGTAAATTCAAATCATTTAATTTATGATTTTGAATATTTGACTAATCAATTTTTTTTAATATCTAGCTCCCAAGAATAATGAAGTTCCCAAAAAAAATGACAGTCCAAGTGATGACGCCCTAGTGAAAATGATGCCCAAAGTAAAAATGACACCCCAAATGAAAATGATGCTCCAAGTGAAAATGATGCTCCAAATAAAAATGGTGCCCCAAATAACAATGATGCCACTAATAATAAAGCTGCACTGGTAGTCAGAGATTTTTCCTGTGCAAGTTTGTTCTTTCAGCAAACTGATTCACAAATATCATTGGCAAACACTCTTGGTAACCTTGAAGTATTCAGTTCTTTGAATATGTTGGCTAAGCTCAATTAAAATGGTTCTGAAAAGGGTGTAAAGAAAAGGCAGATTAATTAGGATCATAAAGAACTAAAAAATAAATTTGTTGAAAAGTTTCTTACTAGTAATACTTATAATAATTGTATATTTAATTTTTAAATACTTTAATTGAAAAATATAGGTTAGTATAGAATTAGCTGTTTAAAAATATAAGGCATTTGTTATATTAATGATCGTATGCAATCATGGCTCAAGATTTGAAATTTTAACAAATTTCTTTCCCGAATTTAAGTGTGCTGGCCCAAAATTATGAATTTTAAAAAAATATAGGATCTAATATGAGTTTCAAGGCCCAAGATTTTAAATTTTAAAAAAATTTTAGCCAGAATTTAAGTTTCCCAGTCCAATATTTTAAATTTTGATAAAATTCTGGCTAGAATTGTTATTTGTCATAATGTAATAATAGTAAAAAAATAACAAGCCATTGCTGCACCATGATCATATGTATTTGCTAGATAACTATAAATTATAAAAAAATTTTTTCTATTTTTTCTTTATGCACCTTGGAGGTCAAGACCAAAATAATAGTTTCAATTGATATTCACAATGACATTACCAGATCCAATTTAGAAGTTATTTATTAAATTGGGTCACATACCAGAATATAAACAAAAAAGAAGCAAATGCAAAAAATGTGAACAGCAAATTAATGATTCTTTAAAAGCAGCCCATATATATGTTTAACAATGTACTAAGATATCATTGGAATAAAAAAAAATATTTTGGTGATTCATAAGAAGAAAGTGATAATGAGATATTAATAAGCACATCCACTTTAACTTCATAAATAGTATCAAATACATCCTCATTTGTAGCATCAAAATCTTACAAAGTTGATTGCATTATAAAAGCAGAACAAAGGTCATTTGAATTGACATTTGCAAGGTTAGTATTCTATTGTGGCCTATTTTTATTATTGCCAAAAATGGAACCAATCAAATATTTGTGGAAATAAGCAAGATCAGCATTTCAATTATGTAGTTGGAAGAAACTTTCAACAAAGCTACTGGATTATATTTATAATGAAACAAAGAATAAAGTTAAAACTTTAATTAATGAATGTACTAATATGTGTCTTATATCAGACAGATAGTCAAACTTGGTGCAAGAACATTGGAACAATTATATTTTAATAACCTCCAAACCAATTTTCTTTACAGCACACCCAACTGGCGAAATATGCCAAACCTGAGAGGCTATTGAAAATGATTTAGAAACAGTAATAATTGAAGTTGCTTTAACTAGAATTTCTGCTGTAGTTATAGATAATGCTTCTGTAATGAAAAAGGCATGGCATTTGATGAAATTAAAATATCCTAAAATTATATTTTTGGGTTGTATAGCCCACAGTTTAAACCTTTTAATCAGCAGTATCATTAAGGTGCCATGGAGTGCTAACATTTTAAAAAATGCTCATACAATTGTTTTATATTTTTATTTACATCAGATTTCAATAGCAGTTTTAAAATGTCATCAATTAGCAACATACCAATAGTGAATATCATTAAAATATCTTGTTAAAACAAGATGAAGATCTTCTGCAACATGCATTAATTCTATTTTACTGAATAAGCTTGCACTTAAATTAGCTGTCACAGAAATAGTATATAACAATCGTAATGAATTACCTGAATCAATTTACAAAATTATTGAAGATGAATTTTTTTAGAAAATGCTGAGAAACTTCTTGTAATATTAAATAGATTTATTGCTAGTATTTTGTTATTTGAGTCTGATACACCATGGATGGCACTGTTTTACTTTTGGTATCATAAACAGTTAGAGTATTATAGTAAGTAATACTATATAATAATAACTTTGACTATCTATATATTAATATAAAATTATGTTTTCAAGTAGTAAATAATGAAATTAAAAATGTTTTGCAAGATCAGTGGAAAAAAATATATCACCCTGTTATGTCGGTTGCATATTTTTTAGGTCTTTAATATTATAGACAAAAACTTTTAATAAATAGTATATCAGTAATACGTATCACAATTTATTCAATGATATTACTCAGATAATGCAAGTATAATTTGGCAGCAGTTAACTGATTATAAAACCAAAACAGGTGCATTTGATCTTCTATTGGTATGGAAAACTATTGGCAAAGTTGATTTAATTGCATAGTGAAAACTAAACTTTGAGAATTTAGCACCTGAATTATATAGAGTTGCAATTAGAATTCTTTCAATTCCCTCTTCATCGGCAGCCTCTGAACATAATTAGTCTACCTTCTCTTATATTTATAATAAGAAAAGAACACAATTGATCACTAAAGAAGTATTAAAATTAGTTTATATTTATTGCAACTATAAACTTAACTGTCTACAACAAGAATTTTCTGATATGGTAAAAGCTGAAGTGCAATTTACTAATAGGTTAGTACAACAGAGCTTAAATCAAAATATTTTATTAGATCTAACAGATAATGATTTAGGTAAAGACAAAGAAGCATTAATGAATAGTGATGAAGGGATTGATAGAGATGAAATTGATAGAATGAAGTTGACAATAAAGAAATAAGCAGTGAAGGATCATATAGTGAAGACAAAAATGAATAAATATATTATGTAAACTATGCTTATTTTTATAAATAATAATATATGTAAATCATGCATTTAATGCTTATTTTTATACAAATAATAATGACAAATAAATGTATATAATTAATTGTTATGTCACCCAACTATGCATACTATGCATATTATGAAATCATATACATCATACAGCATTATTCAGCATAATATGTGCATAGTGCCCATCTCTAATATCAATATATTATATATAATTGTGAAATCCATGTGTTAACGTACATTAATTATATATATGAGATCGAGTCATCAGGACAGCTTTATTGTTACAAAAAAATTAAATAAGACAAAAGGCATAAGCTGAAGATTGTTTTGAAAAAGCAATAATTAGAGTTGTGTATTGTACAAAAAAGTTAGGTATTGTAGCTGGGTTTGAGTGAACTTTACAAGAGCTGAAGAAGGTAATGGTAGCAGCTTTGGCTCACAAGTACTTGTTCTTAGACTTGGCATAAGTTACTAAAGTTCAGGTTAGTCAGTTTGTAGATATAAAAAGCTCTAGTGATGATGCCTTGAGAAAAACCAGTTCTAAAAGAATACCAAAAAAAATCCAAACCCACATACTTTATTTAGAAAACAAAATGCCACTTACTGGTTTATGCGCAATTACTAAATGCAAGACACAAATGCCAATAGGATGGAAAACTGTAATGGAACATGTTATTTTCAAAGACAAAGCTAATAATACTTTTTCAAATTATCTTCAACTAGGCAATATTATATGCATAAATTACTATAATAGAATTATAATAAGAAGTGTAGTTGAATTTTAGCAACATGTATTAGAAAAGTATTATATTAATGGATTAGAAATTTATGTAGTTATGCAGAGACTTCTTAAATATTTTGTTTTTTCACTAGCTGTAGAGATAATTATAAATATTCTTTATAAGAGAAAATTTACAAAATTTTTACTAATTTAAAATTTTAAAAAATTTTGTACAGTTATAAAATCAAAAAATCAACAATTGAAGTTTTAATTTGATAAACTGTACTTATTTTCAATCTATTGAAAAAAGCAAAAATATAGAAAATATCAGAACAATTAGTATTTTTATATTACTTTATTTATAGTATTTAGAAATAAGTTTATTAACAATATAAAAAGAAATAATTTATACATTGCATATGCGATGTTATCACCCCATAAGATCAGGTATAATGTAAATCAAAACAACCAAAATAAACTGAATTATTTCATATAGTTAGAATTAGGATTAGGTTTGATTAGATTATAGTAAAATTTTGCAAGGAATTTTTTTGTTAGAAGACAAAAGATGGTTTCTTATATAAAATTTTGAGTTATAGATGATTTTTGCTAAATGAATATTAGTTTTGAATTTTTGATTATATAACATTACACCTGATCTTGAAATTTGATTAGAAGAGCAACATATAAAGTGCATTGCATGATGTAATGAATAAATTTACTTATATAAAAAAAACTAAAAAATATATTTTAAAATATTAAATTTAATAATAGATATTTAACAGTATTGGGCTTAATAATGATATTTTGTTTAATTACTTATTTTAAAAAACTTTCTTAAATATATTCTTCTAAGAATATAGTAAAATTTTTAAAAATATATATTTAAAGAGAATATATATTTATAGAAAGAAATATATAATATTATTATAAGTTAGAATCAGACTATATTATATACTTAAAAAGATTTATATAAAGAATATATTTAGAAAAAATGCATTTAGAAAGATCTCTTGTATAAAGAATCTATATCAGAAAATATTTAATAACTATTAAAGCCAATCTTAAAAATAGTTATTATTTTTAAAAATTAATAATTATTATAGAATTTATATTATAAAATATCTACTATAATTTAAAATTTTATTTTAGTATACTATATTACTATTTTATTTAATTTAATCAAGGCTTAACTAGTAATACTAAAATATGATATTTATTATTTTTATTAGTTATTATTATATATATTAGATAATTTGTTTTAATTCCAAAATCAGCTAATTATAATTGAAGATTATTATAAAATTTTCACAAACATTTATTACAAAGTAAATTTTTGCAAAAGCAGTCTTTTTAACCAACCCTATATTTATAATTAAGTATGTAAAAATTTAGAAAATTCATATATTTAATTATAAGCCAAAAGTTAGTTAAAAAACTGTTTTTAAAAATTATTTTCTGAATCTACTCTTATTAGTTACTTACCAATCAAATAATGCCTAACCCATTCTCAAACGCCTGAATATTTCAACAAAAAGTAAAAGTACTTTTTTTTACAGCTTAGCTTAGCTCTTTTGGTTGATTTTTAGTATAAATGAGCATATATAATTATTAAATAATTATTTTTTGTTAACTAGCCTCTTTGAAACTAAGGTTTTTGTTCATATTATTTGGGTAGGAAGATTCATAATGGAACTCTTATTATATTAAAGAGTACAACTAGCCATATATACAACTTTTAGTTGCCTATTTA